GTTAATAAGTTTGCTATTGCACATAGCATTATATTGTTGTATGTCCACTGGAAAACTATTAACTACTGTGGAGTTTTCCAGTGATTATTGGAAAACTCGTATATTATAAAAAAAATTATTGAGTAAAATCTAACTATAATTCTATTCATTCGATGATTGTAATAACAATTCGTTTTAATGGTAAATGATTATTATAAAATACGGATCGTGTACGTTCCTATTCTTGTAAAAAATAATGTACATTTTAAACTGTTTAAAATAATACTTAATATTTCAATGAGAAACTTGTATTCTTCTATGACAATGGTAATAGTTCTTCCATCTAACTCTTATTCTTTAAGATTCCTCGAATAAAAATCTTATAGTACTGTAACTATTGGTTAATTATTACGCAGATGTATAATATTTATATTAATTTGTAGTCAAATTAAATTTCAAATTAATTTCATAATATAACAGACATATCATTTTGTTTGAGAAAAGGAATCTCACATTAAACCGCAAGTGTGGTTAAATTGATTATATGTTTCTTCAAGACGTAGTCTTGATAGTACTCTTAACTTTTAATACTTTAAAAAAAAAAAAAAAAAAACGTTTATAAAACAACTAACACTCTAAATAATGAAAATTATACATATGAGATAGTTACCTGAATAAAATAGGTCAATACTAATGAAAAAATTATTATTTTTAACAAATTAATTCGTTTCGACTACTAAATGTCAAGTTTTTCTAACTGAAAATGTGTAAAGGGTAATATAACTTTTACCACAATACTCATAAAAAAAGTAGGCTATTAATAATTTTACTTTTGGAGACTTCAACATTTTTACGAAGTTAAATATTTTATACTGAATAAGTTTTCTTAAAATGAGCTAATTATTTGGGTTCTTTAGTTATAGTTAGAGTAAGTGATTTTTTTCTAAAAGTTAGTTCGTCAATTTTAAAAACTTTTTAAGAGAGCAAAAATAAATTTACAATCTTAACGGTGTCTTATGAAATCGACATTTTCGAAGTACAAAAAAAAAAATTAACCAACTAAAATTTAATCGTAGTTTTTGACACAAAATAAATATAAAAATTTCATAAATATGATGCAAAATGTCATATCCTCATTTTGTGACACGTCACATTTTGGATATAAGCCCAAAAAAAAGTCTTATTTTTTACTTATGTAACTAAATACTAATTTTTGTTTACAAGTAAATTTTCAAACTTGTGATTGTGTTCGTCAGCTAAAAATACTGTAGAAAATTTTGTTTCATATGTAGATAAGTATTGTTCATTATATATTCACAATATATATTGAGGTCTTAACCGAAAACACCACCCACCTATTAATTTTTATGTACTTAATTGTTGAAAACTTTCGAATTTTCATTAAATGCAATACTTTATTACAAACGTGGGCGCTTCTCTTAAAAAATGAAAAATAAAATTCACGTTATTTACTCTTGGCCTCAAACTATATACTATAACAATTATTTATTATCATGTACCTACTAAGGCTTTCATTGGACAATGTCCAAAACATGATATCATCGGACGGTAAATAAGATTTGTTTGATATTTGGCGTAATAAACGCATGTACAACACGGAAAGAATAAATACCATTTTTTTTTACAATTTTTAACGGGGGCGATAACTTAATGGAATGTAGGTCAAGAGATGTTTTGAAGTGCAGGGCCGAGTCTAACTTGAGCGTTTATCACCTATGACCTGAACATACTAGATGACCTGAATATGGAAGGCGGTCTGTATGGCGCCCAGTACATGCTGTGAGTTGACCAATTATTATTATGTTTACACCGGACACTTTTGCCTTCGGCGAAAACCAATCATCAGCGTTCTTCACGCATAGTTCTATATAAAAACACAAGTTCAAGTAAAGACCCAAATGCGAAAAATAATAATTGTGTGGAACAAGTCGCCGTACAAAAAGAAAATTACTTGTCGTCTGATAACAATAAATAGTTCGACATTACTCGTGAAAAATAACTTCGACGTACATAAAACGCGTAATACCGTTTATTAAGGACAATATTACATTTTGTTATCATTAGTCAAAAATATGAATTTTTCGTCGTATTCTTATTAAACATTCTGTAAGTGAAAACGGAAATTTCTCCATGTCAAAATTAAATTACCATCTATGCATTAAAAAAAAAAAGTGTAATTCTCTCTCCAGTGTATGCAAAGTATTATCAACTGGTTTTATAAAGATAAAAAATGCTTCTGTAAGATTGCCGGACATAAAATGTAAAAAGTAATTCATACGTTTTATGAACCATACGACACATGTGTCATGCATTATTTTAGTTTAAACGTGTAACGTATACATTTAGGAACGTAAAAGTTTATCCACATTGACCTAACTGCACCAACGAGAAAATCTATGTAACAGTTTACTTTATACACAACTTAAATTAAACTCGTTTACAGTACGTGTTCTGCCAGTTACAAGTATAGGTAAATTAAAATACTAGGTTCGATTAAAACAATATTCTCTCTATTTGGAACTTGAAATACATTATAGTTAGTGAAAATATATTTTAAAATATTATAAAAAGTACATTCACTTAACATGATGATACCGTTATTACATTTGTTTAATCATATCTTTTATTTGTCTATGGTAAACATTAAATGATTATTTTTTCAATTATCAAATTGAATCATCGACATAAGAAGTATATTTATGGTATTGTCTTTATTTTTATTTAATGTGCATATCCTCAGACTTCCCAGAGGAAAATAGATGTGACACATTACTTTCCCATATACTATATTATATGATTATGTATTAACAATTAATTGCTTAAAGTACATCGTAAGAGGTATTCCTAATATTCATAATAGATCTTTAAATACAATTACTCAGCTAATAAAGCTATTATAGAGAACAATTTTGTGATAATCTTTTGCGTTCAACGTATTCCTAACTTGATATTGTTAAAAGACGCTTTCAGTTTTGACGATATTTGTTATGTCAATATGGTTAAAATAATCATATTGAACTTATTGCGCTGAACTTGTGCTGGGCTTATTGAACTCTTGCAACTCCGAAGTTTTTTAAGGTTATTATGTCTTTCAGTATACTTACAATACTTATATTCTTAAGATAAATGTAATGCATAATAATCCTTTAAATTACAGATATATTTAAAATATTAATTTAAAACTAAAAAATATTACAAATATTTTATAAGTACATACTCAACAAAAAACATAGTTATTTGTTTAAAGATGATGATAGTAAAATTAATCATAAATTATGTATATGCAATTTTTTAGTATTGTTTTGTGGGATTTTGAGCCAATTATTTTTAATAGTTTTTAGTTTTAAATGATAGCCGCAAATGATCAATTCTTTTATTATAATATAATCATTTTATAATATTTGTATTATTTTATCATTGTACAATAATCATTTTAACACAATTGTCATTTCTTATAGCAGTTTAACAAGCTATTAATCAGTATATTTGATAATGGAAACAAAAATTACATGGATACACAAATCGTTAATAACATAATATTATTTCTTTTTAAATAAACAACCATCTTACATTTTCCTAAATTAACTGGTTAATGATGCAAAGTATGTCTATTTCCGATGAAGTACGCTGTGTTATTAACAAAGAATATGAAATATTTATCAACGAATTTCCAAGTAATGTGAACGTATATAAGCTAATAAACGAGAAGACTACAAAGCCTCATTTAAAAACAAAAAAATCCCTAAACACGAAAATGAAAAAAGAATTTGATACTCGAGTCTTACATTATGCCACAAATTCTACAAGTAAAAGTATAAAAGTACCAAAATCAAAAAAACTTTAAGCTGCCCATTATTTATCAGAATTTGAAATATATCATTTACCTACATTATTTATCTCAATGCCTCGTTTTCCATCATCTTAAAATTAATAAAATACAATATATATCATTTTTTTAACTGAAAATTTGTTTACTTTCATTTATTTTAATGAGAAAATATATAATTTGTACAATCTAAAGTACAATAGATATATGTATTAATATAATGCAAAATATGTTAAAAAAATTTTTAAACTCAAAAATAAACCAGATATTATTAATTGAATATAAATATGTAACAAAATTTTGTTATATTTTTAATGTTTTGACACATTTTGCTACAGGGCACAGGGATTATACTCTATATTGACCGAAATGAAGTAATGAGAAAAAGAATTGCTCTAAATATAGGTTGGTAGATTTTATACTAAATCAAGCCAACACAACAGTATTCTGCTTTTTAAAGTAAAACAAAATCTACACATGAATATTTAATATTCTCAAACTGTATATAAAATATCAAATATCCCAACTGACTCTATATTTGAATCTTCAAATTTGAATCTAAATTGTTAATTAGGTATAAAGTTTTGTTGGCAATTAATATTTTACTTTTATTAAAACACCCAAATGCAATAAAACTATGAAAACTGTCAATAAATTTGTTTAAGAAAAAAGTGAAAATCACCCTAATAAAAATTTAGAATTGCTTGAAAAATTCTCTGTACAATGAATTAAAAATTTTTCAAACTAATGTTATAAACATTTAAGTTTTTTTTGGAGAGAAGGAATTGCTTAGATAGTGAAAATTTTAATTTCTGTTGCAATTATTATAATATAATAAATTCATAAAAAAATATCTCAGATTTATAAATAATATAGTAACATAAACTTCCATTTAGTATTTCATTAAATGCAAGGTATCGATGGGAAGTAAAATTTATTGCAATATTATAACTAAATTTACTAGTCTAGTAGATTTATCTACAAATAATAGTTGGGTGATTTTAAAATAATTTCATGTTTACATTTTTTTTCATGATCAAATGTTAAGAATAATACAGATTTATAGCTAAGCTAATTTTAGAGCCATAAAAAATAAAATAGTAATATCTAATATCTATTTAATTATTTTATAAAAAATGAATGGTTTTCAAACTAATTTTAAAAGAGTTCATTATAGAATAATTAGTCAAAAGAGATTTTGTCTCTTTCAATTCATGATTATTTAAAAAATTACCAAACGTTATCGAACAGTTTATCAAAAAATATACAGTAGTTGTAACTTCAAAATTAAATTATTTAAAGACGTATAAAAATATATTTTTTTTAAGTGCGTTTATACAGTGTATGTTTTCACTAAAGCAGAACAATTTTTCATTTGATAGTTTACTTAATTATAATTTTTTGTTACGTTTTTTGAACGATCTTTGTATTTTTTAATCTGAAAGTTCTTCTGATATCCATTATTACGTTCACTTGTAGATGGAAATATTTCATGATGGGAGTGTAAAGATTTCAAATCGTCAGTATATGAGTGATTACGACGACTATGATTGCAATTCCAATTTTGTGTTTTTTGTTTCCATTCATTATAAAATTCTTCTGATTCATTGTCACTTAAATTAATGAATTCTTGATTTTCTTCTTTTACGCCAGAAAATACATTTTGTTGACGTTCAACAATGTGTCCCCTATTTCCAATATGGTGTTCAATTGCCAGCTTTTTAACACCAGTTTTTGAATCACAAACTGATTTTTTCATTTCTCTTACACCTCCTGGACCCGTACGTATTGATTTAGCTGCTTTGTAAACTTGTGGTTGTCCGTTAGATCCGTTTGAAGAGTAAGACATATATGTAGTACTTATAAATGATTGGCCTTGACCAGTATTCATCATTGTCATTGGATTATTCAAAACAGACATTATTGAACTAGAACTATCATAATTATCATCGTCAAAAATAGAGTTCATCATCTGCTTCATTTGCCTAGTGTATTTTCTAATTAGATTAGTATCATTGAACATGTTAGGATTTGAATTAGGAATCATTTTAATTATTGCCTTAATGAATTCAATGCTTCAAAATTAAGTAACAATTTGCAAAAATGATCCAACGATCTTTATTAGTTATTAAGATCAATGAAATTTTAGCTGAGTCGTGTAAAAATTAAGTATAAGTTTTATAAAACTTTAAAGTAAATGAAATTTAATAATTAATATTTCAACTAGTAGTTTACCATAGAAATTATATACAAATAAAAAATTATAAAGCATGTGAAAAATAATAGTGGTTTCATTGTTAATTGATTAAATTTTAATAGTAACTTTTTACAATCCTGAATTAATGTTCATTAAAGCTGAATTAGTAATTTAATTAATATGTCTAGGCTTATAGTACTGAGTAGATTAAAAATTAAAAATATAATTATAAATCAAGAAAAATTCACTACAATTTTGACATCCTTTAACATATTACTAAGGAAAATTTTCTTTATACAGAATTATCATTATTTTTTCACTAATTGGTTTGGGATAATATTCTACAATATAATCAAGGTATTATTTATAACTTGATTATTTATTTCTTGTGTTTATATTAAAAATATACGCAATCAAATATATAATCTAATGTTTTTGATGATTATTAAAAATAATAATTATCGTGAATTTCTTTTTGAATATATTTTTTCCTAATAAAAATTTGGTCTAAAATAATATGATCGTCATAAAAGTACCATTATTAAAAAACTAAAATTATCATAATTTAAGTTTCAACTTAAAAGATATAAATGATAATTATTAAACCTTAAATTAAATTGTTTTGAGGCATTTATATGACAATAATTTCTTAATAAACTTTCTTCTTTAAAATTATAAAGATAATTTTATCTATCCAGTTTTTATTATTTCTTAACACCAAAAAAAAATTTATTTGATAATCAAATTAGTAGTACGAATATAAAATATTAAAAACTCTAGTTTTATGTGTTGTTACATGTATTTAAGTATTACTACTTTCAGGATACCAGCATAAGAATACATTATTTTTCTTTATTCTCGTTATACATTTGAAGAAGACTTCACAAAAATTTGTACTAGCATTCTTTTATATAAATCTATAACACTGTAATGTCTATCTCGGTCAGTATCCGTCGGGTTGTCAGAGAAAATGTTTTTATTGCCAAATATAATCCGTTTCAATAATATTGTAACTAAAAAAATCTTTACGCGTAACAATTCTTAAATAACTTAAATACTTATAAAAATAAAACTAACATATTTAAAAACTAGTTATTGACATAGGACTACTAATGTGTGGGTGATAATTTGAATGAAATGTATTAAGAACGTGATAAATAAATGTTTTTTAATTTTTTCTCGTGATTACATACGATTAGAAAGTATATTCAATTTAAATTCGAATATGGAAAATTATTTGAAAACGCATGTTTAAAAGGAGAGTATACTTTCCAGCCGTATAATAATATAGCTCTCAAAATAAACAGTAAAATATTAAGTAGGCTTTCTTAATTTCAAATGATAGCATATTATTTGTAATGGACCACTTTGTTCTAACTTCTATAGATGAAATACATTTTTTTTTATAATAAAAATAAAATTATTTTTGAACAATTAAATTTGTTGTACAAATGACATTTATAACAATTTTACATGATGCGTTTTTTCTTATTAAAATTTATTTATAATAATTACCTAATATAGACTTGTTAAAAGCATACATAAAAAAATCACAAATTGTATCTACCAACACTAAAATTTTGTAATTTTCCGTAAATGGAGGAAATTTTCGCAAAAAATTAGTTTTTGAAATCGTCAAACTTGGTTTTCTTTTCCACTGACTCTTCTTGTTGACCCATGTCAGTCTTCTCTTCTGACAGCCATTTCTCGGTCTACTAATGGATGAGAGATCTTTGAGTCAGCTGTAGGCGCGTCTCCTCGAGTGTAATCAAAGACGACTTTGATCCTCCTGTTCAACCGTCTGTCATCTTACTCGAAAGGCAAGTCAACCGAACTAGATAATAGCCTGCATAAGGCGATCATAAAACTAGGTGTTATTAGATCAATATCTGTGTCTGGACCGATTCTCCATTCACTCCGAGCACCGCGTCCTTGGAGACTGAGCCTTATTAGCAGTGCTGGAGCAAGCGGGGCACCTGCCTAGGGCCCCGCGGTTGGCTTAGTTTAATTTGTCTTTAGCCTATCTACTTTTTTGTCAGTTGAGCACAAAAAAAAAAAAAGGTCTTTAAAATATTTCAAACCAGAAATAGAGATAACTACTGAGGCCCCCTCACGGCTAACTTGCCCCGGGCCCCGCAAAACTTTGCGCCGGCACTGCTCATTGGAGATGCATGCCGTTAATGCACTCGAACGTGATATAATAGTGGTCGCTCAAATTTTATTTATGTTTAAGAATGGACCATCCGGTACAATATATTCTAGTAATAATGATGATGTCCATTACAAAACTCGAAGTATTTCCTTCGAATGTTGGGGTTGTTGGTAGTCCAAAGCCCTAAGGTCCACATAAAATCCAATAGTTCGTCGCCACGCCCGTCCATCGAGATAACAGTGGCTTATGCTGATAGTAAAAAACGCTACAAGAATAGGAAATTTTTTCCATGAACTTACCTAACTTCGGGTGGTAATGGTCAAAAAAAGATTCTTAGTAAATGTAATGAACAAGCTGCATATTGCGCATGGTTAAGTTCTAAGCACTAATTGAAAAAAAATAATTTTGTTAATAGAAGTAACGTGAGTGAAAGGCAAAAAGAAAAAACTCTTTAAAATAAATTTGTATGCTCTAGGCGCAGTGCCTAATAGATAATTTATCCTCAAGTTTATATCGCTATCACTAATTTTTGAGATATCAAGTTATGTGGAATGAAATAAAAAAAAAACAAACCCATATCAGCCAATTCTTTGTGAACTAAAAATGGTTTCAGAAAATTTTTTTATCATTTCTTTATTTTTGAAAAATGCTATGATGATATTAAGGTTATTTAATTGTTTTTACTAAAATAATTGATAATGTATAAAATCGTGCAATTGTTTCTGATCACACAACATTGAAAATAATTTTACAGTAAACAAATCATTTTTTTTTAAAAATAACTTGAAATAAATTTAACTCTATACAACCAAATTAAGATAAAAGATCTATATTATTTCATATAATTAAATAGCTCTTAAATAAGGATATACCCATGTAAAAAAATAGAATACTAGAGCAATTCCTGATTAAAAGTTAATAAACTAAAAAAACAAGAAAACTGACGACTAATTTGTTTTCTTACTAGTTAGATACAAAAATATGATATTATATTACGTACTATGTTATAATTGATGAAAAATAAGTTGCAAAATATATTACAAATAATACATAAATAAACTTAAATATATGCATTTTTTGAAGTATTTTGAATAATGTGTGTTTAATTTAAAACACATTATTCATAAATAATCTTTACAATAAGATACAAGATTGCATCAATTGTTATATATGAATTATTTTAAATATATTAAATTCTTAAATATTAAAACAAATAACTAAAATAAAATCAACTTAAGATATAAGTCAAATTTAGTTATATTGTACACTCATTAATATTGTATATGCATACAAATTTTTGAAAAATATAAAACAGTATATAAGAAAACATATTTTTCAACCAAATTAATCTTGTTTTTATTTGTTAACAATAAAAATAAGTATAAGTTACTTGATATATCAAAGTAGATTATGAGTGAAGTAAACACATATAAAATGAATGAACAAAAGAAGAATTTTAGAATTTTTAACTAAAAATACTGATTAAAAGTTATTTTCATATCATAGCCACAATTTTGAGAATGTAGATGGACTTAGCTTCCTCAAAATCTACCATAGCCACCTCAAAGATTATAATAATTACTTTTATTTTTAGGTAAATATATATTTAAGGTAAGGATAATATAAATTAGAACTCCTGCATACTTTACTCAAATAGCGCCCGTTTCATATTAAATAAGAAATCTTATTAAAAAATTGAGCCTCAATTACTTATTCATATATTTTAATTAAAAATATTAAATTTAAAAAAATTAGTTAAGTCTTTTTTGTTAATATACTCTGTAAATCAAACTTAAAAGAAATTTTACATACACAAGGTTATTAAAATATTATTCAATTAAATTGACAAAATGTGATAAAATAAAAAAGTTTTAGAAGATTTTTAACTAAATACATTATCACAGAATTAAAGTCACATTTATTGTCATTATTCAATTAACTCTGGCTAGTTCAGAATTTTGCAATGCGCAGACATCCAATATACAAAACACTCGACGACATAGAGGACAAGTACATTTTGAGGATAGCCACAGAGTTTCATTATTTTGTGGTTGTCGTGATTCATACCTATAAATATTCAATACAATATTATTTTGACTCAAAAAAAATTTTAATGAACAAAAATGAGTAAATTTACCATTTAGCCATGCAATCCACACACCACATTGGCCTACATTGACAAGAAGAACACTTGGGCAAATCAGTATCATCATTATCTTCACAGCATTTAGTAAGCTTTATGTCTGGAGGATTTACTAAACAACCAGCACAAATTGAGTCTTCAATCTATAAAATAATAACCTTAAAATAATATTCACACATTTTTTACATTAAGTAAAGTAAATAATATCATTTGTTTTTAACATAGTGACTATTAGCATACAGGTTATTGTCATTTAAAACATTTTAATGGTGCATGACTAATAGCTTAATTTATAATTAGTTATTCAGTGTTACATATCACTTTCAATCAAGTGTCAAATTATAAAAATTAGTTGGGTTAACTTATTTAAATGTTATACTTCTGTAAAAAATTAAAAAAACTATTAAGTTTATTTAATAAAGTATTAATGGTTTTTTAATGGAGTTCATTTTTTACATGTTTATTATAAGTATCAACAAAATTAAAGATTTTGAAAAGATGTGAATATTTAAATAAATAAAAATATGAGACCATTAATAATACTATTTATTTTCTAAATATACCAATTAGATGTTCCAAGTACCAGTCTTATAATTAGAACTCGAGATTTATTGGTATATAAACATTTTTTGATCATACTTTTATTACTAGAAAAATTTCTAATAATCATTATTGTACTTATAATACAAATATAAAGTTCTTTATAATATAAATAACTGTAAATTTCTATGTAAATGCCAATCATATTCTTTGTTTAATTTGGGATTATACATATTACTAATATTATTTTTAAATAAATTTTTTAAAACAACCACAATATTAAGTATTCCTTTAAAAATAATTCTGATTCTGTGTTCACTAAGTATTAAAATTTACAATAAAATTAATTATACTTGTGTATGAAATTAAAGAATTACAAAAAAATTATATAGATTCAGGTCAAATTATTAAAGTATAATATTTTATAAATAAAACATTATTGATTCAGACTCTTAAATACACAGAGTAAATGATATTGAAAAGCACCAACAGGATTGTAAAGGTTCTGTATTTAAAGTAATTTGTTTGAACTTAATTAGACAAAAATAAACAAATAAAAATTAATATATTACAATTTTTATAAAAATATTTAATATTAAATTAAATATTTTAATAAAAAGCACATAATATTTTTTAAATTTATACTTGAAATTGATGTATTTTTATACATGTTAAGTATTCAAATACAAATATTTAAGTATAAATATTGAAACCCCTTTTGAGTATTCTAAACAGTATTAAAATATTTATTGAAAAATATATTTAAAATACTCCTTTAATACATCTTTTGGTATTTTAATTCTAAAATAGAAAATGCTTTTCATAAACATATTGCAACATGTTTACAAATTATATTTATCATATTACACCCTACCAAAATTGAGTGATTGAATGTCAGGTTTGGATTCAATTTATGAAGAACATTCAGGAGGTTCTGGACACACCACCCATTAATCATAAATAGTCACGGAGATTTTAGAAGAATGAAGCTTCTCATAGCTTCTTAATTAGTTCTGAAAATTATCTGGACTACTCATAATAAATCCCTAAATATAACACATGCTGAAAAAATTTTTAACATAATATTTTCTTTACATAATCGAGATAAATACAGATGATAATACTAAAAAAAAAACACCTTAATATCTTGTGTTCGCAACAGTAATATTGAGTATTATTTACATGTATGTGTATTTTTTAATTGCATAAGTATAAAAATTGTATATGTTTAAAAAAAAAAATAATAATTAAGCTAAAAAAAAAAAGTTTAAATGACTGATACTTTTATTTAAAAATTAATTCCAACTTATATGCAATACCAAATGTGTTTTAGTAGATTAATGTATTATATAAAACTCATAATTTGACTAAAATAATATATAAGTTATAAGGTAATAATAGTTTAAAAAAATAAAAATATTCAACTAAAAAATGTATAGATTATTCTCATACATCATTATTTATTATTTTTTATAATAATAGTAATAACTTTTAGTTATATGATTCATTTAGTTAAAAAATTAAGCAAAATCTAAACATTTGTAAAAAATTTTATCTAATAAGAATAGAGAAATTAGTAATACTTTAATTTAGTAAATTATTTAATTTTTGAGGGCATAACAAGAAGTTTACTAAAAATAAATACTTAAAATCATATTGCCAGTCAAATCGTATGAAAAAATAAAATCTCATTTAGAATTAATTAGTAATATGAATAAAAGTATACTTTTATTATATTTTATTTTACATCTATTTATTAATACTTTTACAATAACAACAAACGCAATCATTTAGTTATAATTGATAAATTTTTTATTAAAATTTTTTAAATAATACTCACATCTGTAGCACTATAATTTGAGTAAACTGGATTTTGTCTAACTTCGTCACGAAATACTTCAATGAAACGTTCAGTCCTAGAACGTTGCAATTTAATGTTATCAGCTATCTGTATAGGTTGGCCAATTTTCTCTTCCAAAGTTTTAAAATCTTCAGATTTAATTCTGATTTTAAATGTTCATGAGATCACAATAATTAAATATGATTATTTCTAAAGGAATGACAACCTACCTAATAAAAAAAGATTTGACACGAGCTCGAATAGGTATAACTTGGATATTGATAAATTGTACAGATCCAAGATTTCCATCAGGTGATGTATTATGATTATCAGAACTATATACTACAAATGAACTTTCCATTTTTTTAGCTATATTTACAGAATATAAGTTTATAGAAAGCACCCAATTATCAGTAACAATTATTCGAGTAAGTGTACCACATGATAGAGTTAATTTCTGCAAACTAATTTAAATATAATTAAAAAATGTAATTTCTCTTATTATAACTAAGTTTATAATACCATTGATACTCCATTGATATCTCTCGTGCTACTAACATCCAATCACCTGGATCATATCTTATTAGTATCTTTACTAAGGGATGATTTGCCCAATTATTAGACATCCATTTATATAGTACTGAACAACTTAACACTACAGGTATTAAAGCCAAACAAAATAATTCATAAAAATATTGATATACAATTTCTTCTTCACTATCATTTGCTAATAATGTACCAAGAAGATAAACTGGAAACAAATAGTATAATATTAAATTAGATTAAGTGATTCAAATAATATATATTGAATTAGATTATTAATCAAATGTAATACAAACCTAATGGAATACTTGAATGAATAATAATAGTTAGTGATGTCCGTTTAATGTGATGTACTATAAAATTGTCATACTCTTTTCCAACAAAATTTTCAAATAGATTTTCTACTGTGAGGCCATTAGACACAAACTCAGTGGTTTTAAATACAAAACAAATAGATACAATAATGTAAAACAATGTATAAATCAGTATTGACGTTGAATTAAACATAGTTGGTATATAAATAGAAGAAAATAACTACATGATAATTTGAACAATATTTATTAACAAGCGGCATCTAAGATTGCTTTAAATACTAACAGAGAAGAAATTTAATATATATAAATAGAAAATAGCTGAGACATTTCACTCCTTTTCTACTTATCATAGTAATGAAAACTATATAAGTTTGATAACACTGATATCATGTAAATTATTACGTGTTATACTTATATCGTGTTATATGATTCTTTAAATGATAAAGAACATATGGACTATAATTTGACTGGTTAAATAGAAAGACAAACTAAAGGTATAAATTGTTTAAAATATTTACAGACAAATTTGACTTCAATTAAATTATATATTATGTGTAATAAAAAATTATTTAAGTTCATTTAAATTAATCTTGTGTATAATGTACAGTTGTGTGAGTTGAGTTGCAGGGACTCCTTGTATAATGTACATAAATATTATTTACAACCAAAAGTCATTTTTTTAGTTTGTCTTCAAAGTATACATCTAATTTTCTTTATGAATAGTCCTGTAACATACTATATTTGTGGATATTTGTAAACAAATTTATAGAACCATAGATTATATAAATTATAGAAGGGAGTTTTGATTCTCATGACCCTTCTGGATTTGTCATTAATTTTAAGCTGTTAATAACTCTTGTAAATGTAGACCGATTAGTTTTAAAAGTTAACTGATTGATTAGCAATATTAAATAAAGGTGGTATCCTTTTATTAACTTCCCAAAATTGAAAACATCAACAATTAACTTTGTATCCTTTTCAGATTAATAAATAAGAATTACATCTATTACTTTTTACAATCAGTAGTATAAAATTTTTATTTTATACTTGTTATATCTGTTAAATGTGCACATATTTATATGTAATAATAAATATTAATTTTTTTGGATACATATTTGGTGAAATATTATTTTATTCTAATAATAACATACTACTACTTATATAAAACCTAAGATTTTTACTACTATATAAAATAAATAAAACGAATAAAAATTAGCATTTAATTAAAATTTAAGCTATTTTGGCATATTTTTATCACAACATAAAAATATTACTATAATATATAATAGTTTTTTCATGACAATTTGAAGATATTTGGTAAAATATACATAAGAATTTGTCACTTGTACACGTGTTTCAACTGAAAATGCACTTTTTGCATACTAAAAAACTTAATAATTTTTATATAATTAAAAAATTCACTAACGTAAGACAAACCGTTCTTTTAAGCGTCAAAAGATAGATAAGATCCACATATTTTGATTAGCAAAAGTTAATTTATTAATAAAATTTACGAAGATAAAAGCAAATTCATGAAATGTTGACTCTTTTTCGATAAATAGCAATTATATAAGTTTGAAATCACACACACAAAATATATTTATAAAATTTTCTGTTTAAAGGGTTTCAACTTTTATTTGATAGATAATTTTAAAAAAAGTTTAGCTTTATTTTTTGAACTCAAATATATCTATAAAGCTTTAAACTTGATGGATTTCTCTGAATTTTGCAAAAAAAAATGTCTAAAACGTCATAAAAACAAATTTCTAATTATTTGAAGAATAAATGTTTTTTTCTTTCTATTTTTAATTTTTTTAAGAATTTTCAATTTTACAGTTTTTACAAATTAGTAAAATTTTCAAAAACTTGATGTCACAAAAAAATTCTAAAAGTATATTTGAAACAGTGCAAAAATAATGACTTTTTTTATTAATGTTACCATGGCTATGCAAATAATGATAAGAAATGTTGAAAATTGAAAAATAATATTTAAAAACCATAATAGGTTTTATTTAAAATAACTAAAAGGTTTCAATAGTAACTATAATATTTTATCACGGATGTGAAACTTATAAAGTATTTTCGTTTTATTTTTTAACGATTCGTTAAAAATATCTTTAAAAATATCATCTCAACTAAATATAATTAACATTAAATAATTGTATGTAATTAATTTCGATGAATTACACGTTTACTTTTATTTTTTTGGCTACTGGTTAATTTTAATTGAAGATAATTTCTTGTAAAAATAAATCATACAACTAAATGTGTATGTTAGGAAAGGCGTGGAGAGCTTAATAAACAACCAAAAAGGCGGCCTTCTACAGTTGCCGACAACGCACAGTCGACAACGATAGGTCGGTGGTTGTGCGGTGGAGTCAGTGGCCGAAGACGACGGTCCTGAGGATTGCGACTGCCGCGTTTATTGTCAGTACGACGCACGTGGTGTGCGTTGGAACAGACTGTTAACTTCGGAGCGTCGTCGCCGTCACCGTCTCGTTCGTCAGAAACCGCCAAAAAGTGCGAAATACTAAAAAGATATTTATAATACTGAATTTTTTTTCGCTGACGTTCTTTTTTTACGTTTATCCATTTTAAAGTGTTAAAAACTATTGCTTTAGTGCTCCATAAACAATAAACCCGTTTTACTACCCGTTTTACTGGATTAAAGAAACATCAACGAATAGGACTTATCAATTAAATTTCAACTTCTAAAGTGCGTATGTCCGATGAGGTAAGAATAATATTTAATTAAAATTCCTATTGTGCTGGAAATGATTAAACATGATATTATAACACTTGACGTAGTTCTTTTAAAACACCCACTTGGCGCCACTTTTATACAAATTTTTATTGATTACTTTAAATTATTATTTTACATCATAAAGTTGGTAGAGACACGATCTTAATGCATTTGGAACGGCGCGAAAAATAAAATGATTTTATTTACCCGTTGCAAAAATATAATAACTGTCATTTACAGCTGATAAAATTTCGGTAATGGTGGTCGTTGTCGGCTACCAATAAATACTGATTCTTATATCAGTACATTGCCATTTAACATTAGTAGTGCAATGTATTTTATCAATACTTTGACTTTGACTTAAACACACTGTTTTGGAGTTATTTTAAAAAAAATAACATAATTAATATTTGATAATCGTCGTCAAATTGTGTTAATTCAAAATTATTTCAATGTTGATCACTCAGCTAAAAACACTAAAAACATCAAAATACTAGTGAGTTGAATTTTTTTTTTATTTATTATTTATTCAAGTAACTTTACAAAAATGTTTATGTACCTTATAGACATTTTAAACAAAATCACAATGAGTAAAAAATATCTCAATAAATTATTATGTAAAACTATTGGTTTCCTAATTATTCTAATAAAATGTATTTTTTAAACACTCAAAAAAAATAACATAATTATATGTTAGATATTAATTAAATTTTAATTTATCTTGCATCATTCACTTAAATTTTTAAAGTCCGGTCGCCCTTAAGACCACAGTCGATCAAAATAATGATCGTAACTCTAAACGCTATTCAGATACTATCATTAAACGTGTTTGAGTTATTTGACGGAATTAATTGAAAATTTTCAAATTATTTCCCTGGCATCAAAAACTATTATTTATGTAAACAATTATTTGGTGTAAAATAGTATTATTATTATCATCACCGTATGACTTGCTGTGTATTTATTTTAATAAATACACAAAGAGTTTAATAAATAATTAGTTGATTACTATTTATAGATTATTGAAAATTACATTCTTAGTACTTCAGTACATACACATATCCAAGATATCATATCGCAGGTGGGCGGGTTCCAACATAAATTTATCTATTAACTAATAATAATTAACATACCTTTATCATTTTTTCTTCCATTAAACTTGTATTAGAAAAAAGATGGTTATGCGAAAATTAATACCATCAACCAGCACTTACATTTATATGAATGATTAATACCAGTTCACTAAATTTACTAATATTAATATTGGTTTTTGTGAAAGATTTTTAAGTACTGTATTATTTAATTTTGACATTTATGTTTTTTTTAATTTCATATTATTATTTTATCAACATTTGCGTAGTATTCTTAATAAATTATACTATACTTTAAATTCACAATTTAAACTACTTAAGTAGATATTAGTATAATATTAGTTTTTTATAAGACATAGTAACACATTTCTTTAATTATTATAAATGTTTAAGCATTACAGCAGTCAATACTGGTACATCTTGTTTTTGCACATTTTAATCCCGTTTCGGTTTGTCAAATGATTGTGAAAGTTATCAGCACATTTTTTTTTTAGCATATGAAAAATTAGGTTTCTAGTATGCCTATAATTGTTATATAAGTAATTTTATAAGAACATACTATGTGTGATATTAATTGGCTTGGAGCGACTAGAGTACTTTTGGAAATTACATAAGTTAAAAAAATAAGGAAATTTTTTTTCAAAATAATATGGTTATTACAAATTTCAAGTATATCTTATTATAAATATATTTATTTATATGAGTAACACTTAGCGCCCTAATATGGTCAAATAATACTATCTTATACAAAATTTTAATTATTTTTCACTTGATAATATATCGCTATTTTTATATAATATTGTCAATTTTATAAATACATGGTGTTAATTATACATGTCTTTTTTATGGTTTATTTTGGGATATTTTTAAGTAACATTAACACATTTCCAAATATGGCAAATAAGCCATTATTCATAACTACTATAATGACTTCCTAAATCGTATGGCGCCTTCTGTAATAATAAATTATTCTTTTTATTCACAGTGGGGTGATTTGTTTTTAATAATATTAATTTAGAATTCATAAATTAAACTAATGAATATATTCTTGCATACGAATAAATGTCTTCATATTTAGTCTATTAATGCATTTAAAACTAGTTTATATAATGTGCCTTAATGTAGATTTTTTCAATGCATTGATTTATTTTAACTTTATATTTTTTAAAAGGTATCATGAACATTGAATGACAGTGTTTAAGAGTGATGACAGGCTGATGCCAGATAATGAAGTCAATTTTTTCATAGTAAACATTTTATTTTGGGTTTTGACCTACTATTAACATTTAACTTAAAGTATTTAAAAAATAAACTATAATTTAAAATATAAACTGACCAACTTCAAGTTGTTAAAAAATATTATTGAAATATTTATTTTGAATAATATTTGTCAGAAATACTTTTTTTTAATAAATTAAGTAGTATGTTTCTACTTAATCAATTAAGTAATTATTACATTTTATTTATATTAAAGTGAATGAAAAATTAATTATAAAAAAGAAAATTATATTTAAAAAAGGAAAAAATATTGAAACAATTTATGATCCAATTAATATTTCGTTAAAACTTTTTAAATTATTTTTCTCTATAAGAAAAAAAATATAAGTTATTAATTTTTAAAAATTACAAAATGACCATTTTTGCGCTTTTCTTACAAAATCTTTTATGGAACGATACATTTATTAAAACAAGAGCTTATTAATTTTCTAGCATATAAATACATAGGGCGAACAAAATGTAATAGTAAAAAATACGCTTTTAACGTAGTCTGAGAACGCAAAAGTTGATTAAACAAAATTAACAACGAAATTATATTTAGATCAAAAGTTATAAGACTTATCAGTTAGATCTGTTTCAGTCAGTATATCTTGTGTTAACTAAAATAAAATATGCATTTGATGTCATTTACAATATATTTGTATTATTTAAATCGCTTACATTAAGATTCTTTTACTAAAAGTTTTATTTGTAACTAAATAATTCATTTATCTATAATTCATCTATCTTTTCTTTTCTTTTTAATATTTTTTATAATTTATTTAACATATTGTATCATATCTATACTAAAAAGAGATTTAAAATTTAATACTTTACTCAGTAATAATTCGGGGCTTTATTTATTTAGAAAATTTGTTTGTACCACTTTAAGGAACATTTTTTGTTTAAAGGGGAGTGATCCGCCCACTTCACCATAACTCGATTCCTAATTAATATACATTATTTAGTGTTAAGGAAAATGAACACGAATATCTTTATTATTATTTTACGTATAAAATAAACTATATGAATGCATTAAGGTCTGAAACCTTCACACGAGTATAAAGAATAAATATTGAGACATTCATAAATAATATTTTCATGTTTTAATTATAAACAGACTTATTTTCTTTACCCTCTAAGAATTAAATAATTTTACTGTCTATTATCAATGTTACGTATTACAAATAAAATATAATTAATTACTTTTATCCGTGAAAGATACAAATTCGCTACGTTTTTTTCATTTTCGTATTGCATAATTAATATACAAAATATTGAAATAGCAATTATAGACATGGTAACATCATGAGATATGAAATATAAAAAAATATATATTTAATTTATAAGGAGAGTTAACCTGCCAACATATTATAGAAACTTAATATTAATATAAATAAATTAGAAATAAATCTATAAATGTTTGTAATCCTTAAACATCACGTTTTTAACAAAAAATACGTTAAATAAGACAGCATTCATGTTTCAAGTGAATAGATACTCTCACTACTCGTTTGGCTATTAATCTGAATATCTTAGGAATAATTATTTAAATTAAATTTCAGCATGTCTAAAAATTATATAACACCTTTCTTACTAGAATCTATGCACTTCATATGGAATAAAATTCAAAATGAAACTAATGTCTAATTAATTAAAATCTTAATTCAACACCAACATATTATGTATTACTTCATTAACAATCAGGTGTTACATTTTTGTTTCTGGGCAGCAATTTTATGAAAATCAATCAGACCTACGTTACTGGCTTTGTCATTTAATAGATTTTAACTCATTGCTCAAGGCGCTCTTATTTTCTCTCGTTGTGGTTTCGGCTACCGTATTTATTTGTTATTTCAAGACAAATCGTTATATCTCACCCACCAAAGACCAATTACTCCTGAAATATATTAACACGAGTAGCTTCTGCTTTTGCATGTTCTATAATTATATTATAATATAAATATTCTATAAAATGTCCTTGTCGTGTGTGGCGGTATTAAATGTCATTTTAATAATCTGTCTGAAATCAAAACTGACAACGAGAAATGTACCTTTTTTTTTCCAACGAATGATGTTGTATTTCAAGTCAATAACTTTGGTTGACTCTTATTCATTTGTCCGGTTTGGATAGAGTACGGTTAGTATTCTTTTAATGCTTGCGCAGATTATGGAATGCGGTTTCAAGTAAATAAAATGAGCTGAAAAATAAATCGATATATCATACCAACATGGCATATGAGGAATCTTAAGAGTTTAAGTACCAACGATTACAACTGTGGACCATTGTGACTAGTAATTTTATACACGTGTGATGTTAACAAATTATAAGGATTCAATTACAACGAAGCTGAAATGCCCTAAGTAATAATACATATCATGCACGTAATATGTATTATAAAGTAAGTGATTAAGTTCGTAGATAGCTGTTCAAATTTAAAAGAAAATTATGTATATTTCTTAAAAGTGAAGTGTAATAAGACTACACGAAGTATTTGTTTTGTGAATGCTCAACTTATGTCAGTTACCAGTGTTCATTTAAATTAAACCAGATAAATAAGTGTAAATTAAATTTCGAATATGAACACTGTCCTTTTTTCACGTTGAGAACCCAAATAAAAAGTAATTTTTATTAAATAAATA